CGTGTAACAGTAAATTACCGGCTTGCTTCTCCCCGCTAATGGCTGAATCACTTGCCTGTAAAGAAGCACTATCATGGTTGAAGAATCAGAATGTGGCTATGGTTAACCTGTTTACAGATTGTTCGGAGCTACGCAGCAGCCTACTATCGACACACGCCCCGGCTATGTCCTTTGTCGGGATTATTATTACTGAAATTAGAGTTGCTTTGTCATCGTTTCATTATTGTTCAGTTAGTTTGGTTTCTAGAGCTTTGAATTTACATGCTCATACTCTTGCTGCAGCAACCTCTGTTCAGGCTACTCCGCTGTATTGAGACTCTGTCCCCCCAGACTCTACTGTTGCTTTCATTCATTAATATATTGCAACCATTATTAAAAAAAAAAAAAAAAAAAGCATAATGCACATAAACTCCCAAAGTGCACAATGCATTGTGCACCTTGGTGCACGATATAATTTGCCTAAAAACTTGGGTTGTGTCTATTGGAATTGTTCTCAGAGGCACTAGGGCTGCCCAAAGATCACCAGCAAATTATGCTGTGAAAGTGTAAGGTGGACACAGTTCCAAAACTGTTCATAATTATGAATATAAAGTTCAAAAATTATGAACATAGAGTTCTATAATTATGAATGTAAAGTTATGAACATAGAGTTCTATAATTATGAACATAGAGTACTGTAATTGTGAATATAGAGTTCAATAATTGTGAATATGAAGTTAAAAAACTATGAACATAGAGTTATAATTATGAACATAGAGTTCTGTAATTGTGAATATAGAGTTCAATAATTGTGAATATAAAGTTCAAAAATTATGAACATAGAATTTTATAATTATGAACCTAGAGTTTAGTAATTATGAACACAAAGTCGTGTTCACCTTGCAAGGTGGACACGGTTCCACAGTATAATAATCCAAGATCACTTTTTTTTTTTTTCTGAAAAATGACTTATTTTCCAGAAAATATTTTTCAGAAGTCATTTTCCTACTTTCCAAACGAAGCCTTTTTTTTTTTTTTTTTTAAATAAAATTGTGCATTTATTCCATCAAAACCAAAACGTCTACAAGTATACGCCATAGCCCCGAAAGTGGACTATGGCTCAAAAAAACAAGGCCTTTTCGGCCAAACACTATGTACAAGGGGTGACCCAACAGTGGCCACCCCCAAGTAAAGAATAAAACTCCCAACTCAACTGACTAACAAGGCCAACCTAGTGGCTCACCATCAAAGAACCCTAGAGCTCGGTTTAGCCTTCAACTCCCATATCTCTCCAAACCATTCTCAAAACATAGACTTAAATGGGCTCCCCGTCCCACACAAGTGTTGGGACCGATGCCCGAGCCTTAAAGATCCATTCTACCAAACCATCCTTAAGCCAAAGTCCCATCCCCACCGGCACGGCGTACCGTGTTTTAGTCCGGGGGAACTTTCAGGGTCCCGACTTAAGCAATGGTACTCACCCCTCCCACCCTCGCACCCAAGACCAACTCCCTCCGGCATGGCGTACCATGTTTTAAGCCCGGGGGAGCTTTTCAGGTCCCGACACGAGCAATGGCTCCCTCAACCCCCACCCTTAGGCCAAAGGCCAACTCCCTCGGCATGGCGTACCATGCTTTAGGCCCGGGGAGCCGTTACGACCTCGACCTAAGCAATGGTTTCCCTTAACCTCTCAAAACCCCCTTTTTTTTCCATGTTTCTTTTTTCTTTTCCCTTTTTTCAGCCTTATATCACCATCACCAATCTGCACAACCTTATTCCTTTTTCCTATGGATCTTTTTGAGCTCAAGAGCACTCCCAACTCCAAGTGTGTGCTGTACTTGGAGCCCACCAAGTCCCCCCCATTCTACCACAAGCTAAAATGGGAGTCCAAGGCTAGACTCTACTTTCGGGCCCATTGATAGCAACCCTTAAGCTGACAAGTATGCCATCCAGAGCTAGGAGCAACTCTTTTAGGACTTACAGCCTCATTTCTGTCTGCTCAGATCAGCTTTAAGTCCCATGACCTTCATTAGAAATGGCTTCTGGTCTTCATCAACAATCTACCTGCAAAAATGGCTTCCCTTCTGCAACATAGTTGCAGTTCCACCAAACAAACAGCTGCCCAGCTGGTCAGCCAGCTCTGGCCTCATCCTAGCTGTCAGTTCCCTCAGGCAACCAAGCTGTTTTGCCCTCAGAGACTGCCCAGCTAGCAGTCCATCACTGGTCCCACCACCAAGTATAAGATCACTTGGAGAAACTATGTTGTGCTGTAGGGCTTTCCATCATTGGCTAGTACAACCCAGCTTGCCCTGAACCAGACTCACATTTGCACTCAGAGACCATTCTGTTGATTTTATGACTTTTGGGCAGTCAACGGCAAACCAACACTACCATTAGAATAATGAGAATATAGGAAAAATATAAGAGAAATATATGACGAAAATATAGGAATGTTGTATGGAAGAGTATTGCTTGTGAATACTGAGAGTTGTCCCCACTCCTCTATGTGACGGGTCTATTTATACATATTTTGGGCCTAAATCCTTACAAGGAATAAGAATCCTAGACTGCCTCATATTGGGAGTCTTTAGTTACATAATGAGACTTAATTCTATTATACTAGAAATATTGAGTTCAATTCTAATTATATTGGGAATAACATGCTCAATCCTTGACAAACCAATCATTATACCCTGCACCACGGCGCATATAGCACTATGCGCCTCGTTTCTCCCAAAATGACGTTGTTTTGGTAAGTTATGTAGGGAGTTGACGTGATTATGTGTATTTGTTTATACAATTATGTGTATTTTTTTATATAATTATGTGTATTTTTTATACAGTTATGTGTATTTGTTTATACAGCTATGTGTATTTGTTTATACAATTATGTACATTCATTTATACAATTATGTGTATTCTAGTATAAAATTATGTATATTTTTTAACATGAGATTTTTTTAAGGAAAATTAACCGCCAACACTGGGTAGCGAAATTTCAAAAAAAAAAAAAAAAAAAAAAAAAAAAAAAAACTAAACGACGTTGTTTTGCATCAGGGCGCACAATGCAATGCGCGCCCTGGTGCACGATATAAATTACCTTGACAAATTCTTGGATTGCTCCGTGTTGTATATCCTTCTTGGGCTTCCTCGATCCAGCTTCTTTCTTAGGCCGGTCCATGTGGCCCAGGCCTAATATATTATCCATCATCCATGTGGCCCAGATCTAGTATACTATCCATCATTCTGACAATGGTTTTTAACAGTACTGATACAAGATGCTCAAATTGGTGATCTTCAAGTTTTTCATGAAAACCAGTGGGTTAATGTCCCTCCATTGCACGGTTCTCTGGTAGTCAACATTGATGTTCTTCTGCAGGTATGTATAATGTATCAAATTGACAAAAAGAGTATTAAAATATGTTGGAAAAAATAATTTAAAATGGCATAAAATGACATGTTAATTGGTTATTTTGTGGTACAATTATCAGTGAGGTCCACTTCCGATTTGGGTCGGGTCAAAGTGGATTCGGGTACTTCGTAGTGAGACGAAGAAATTGATATATTGTACGCTCAAAACGGATAATGGGTGAATGGGATATTGATTCTCAAAGTAGACCCATTTGAGTTGGAAAATGAAGGGAAAAAGTGAACTTTTGTCCCACATTGGTTTGGAATGAAGATTTTCCCCCCTTATATACAAGAGCTTTTTTGAAACTTGTAGAATTGTATAGCATATAAGCTCTCTCGCGGGGGGGCGCACGGATGTCTCGGCCTGGCTGCCTGATAGTCTCGGCACTTAGCAGGTTAATTGTCTTAGAAAAGGGCCCTTGGTCGAAACTTCAAAGTTTTGGCCTACACGAACCTGTGCAGTTTTGTGACCGTTGGGTATTCAATTCTTCTGTTACGGAATTAATTTTTTTGAGTTAATTCCAATTTTTAATTTTCGAATTGGCCTACACGAACCTGTGCAGTTTTGTGACCGTTGGGTATTCAATTCTTCTGTTACGGAATTAATTTTTTTGAGTTAATTTCAATTTTTTATTTTCGAATTGAAACCCAGGATTAAGGCTGCTGTTACAGGAAGGTGGGGGGGGGGGGGGTGCCCTTAAGTGCCTAATAAAAGCTATTAATTCCTACACCCCTATATAAAGAGGAGTTGGGTAGTAGAGTTTTACACACAGAAAATATACAACACGAAAGTTCATCTTTTAGCCTCGATCAAAAGCTCTCTGCTTCTACTCATTCTTTAGTCATATTGTGTTCATAGCTTTGTCTTGCTCGCCGGATTCCTTGTTTGAGTGCTTAAACATTGAATCACAAGCAAGTTTTATCCTAGGAAGCCTAGGCCACAACGCTCCTAGCATCTTTGGGAGGTGGCAAATAAGGTTTTAAGGAAAGAGTGCTCACTTCTCTTGCAAAAACCCAACACCAAACACTAGCTAAATTTCTTCATCTTTTCTTCTCTTCTTTCTAGAAAATAATAATATTATTTTTTGATTATTATTTATTTTTCTACCAACGATTCCAACAAAATAAGCTATAAACTACTGCATAAATTATACCAAATATACATTTAAGAACTTTTCTGTCTTTGTTTTTGACTTTTAATTTGTGGTAGTTGATCACAAATGACAAGTTCAAAACTCAAAAGTGTGCAGCACAGAGTAATAGCACAAAAGATAGTCCCCAGAGTTTTTGTTGCAAGTTTCTTTAGACAACCCTCGGTGACGTGGACGCCAAGAAAGTATATGGACCGGTAAAGGAGTTGGTTTCGGATGAGAACCCTCCATTGTATAGAGAGACAACCACAGAGGAATACCTTATGCATTTCTACAAGAAAGGGCTTGAGCCTTGATGGTACCTCTTGGTTGTTGAGGTTTAGGTTGCAGAAAGAAGGCAATTAACTAAGGAGATTCAGAAGTACAAAGATTATAATTGTATTTAAGTGTTGTTGGTTTTTATGATCTGTTCAAAAATAAAACATATATCGTTGTAGTAATCTATAAAAGTTGAAGTTGATAAAATCTCACTTTAATACTTTACTAGTAGTAATTACTAATACATCCATTATTAAGTCTAGAAAGCCATAACATTTTTCTGGCAGAAGAAGAAGCCAGACGGTCCATCATCGGGCAATAGAGCCAACTTCACAATATTTTCAGCGCCCTCCTCAGGGGTGAACATGCCAACATGAACAGTCATATCAGTCTTTACATAGCCTGGGCACACACAATTGATGCGAAAATTGGGACATTTTTGGGCTAAAATCCTTGTGTAAGCATTCACTGCTGCTTTGGAGACTTTGTAGGCCGAGGCATATCTTGGCCAGCCTTTGGCTTGTGCTATGGTTGGACCTTCCTTGTAATTCTTTAGAAATTCCTTCACCACTTCATCTACCCTTTCCTCTGTTAGGCTTTCGCCATTGCTCAATATCTTTCTAGCCATTTCATTATTTGATAGTAGCTGCAAGCATTTGAGAGAAAAGATTAAGGTTCGAACTTTAGTGACGATAGTGTGAGAATTCTGTCTAAAGTGAACAAATCTTTTGTGTGTTTCAACATTTGGCCTTGTGTCAATGAGTCATCCTAATTTATATCCTCCCAAATGTTCTATCTATTTACTATGAAGTAGATGTTAAATGTATGGAAGTAAGAGTTGATGATCACACCTTTAGGTTCCCCAGAGTGGAGGAAACGTTGACAATTCTAGGGGAATGGGAAAGTTGGAGAAGAGGTAGAAATGCTTCAACCATTCTTTTGGTGCCATGGTAGTTTGTTTTAATGCACTGTTCAGCCAACTCATAAGTTTCAATGAGTGCTCCATCACTTTTCAACTCTGTTTCCAACACTTGCTTCAATAATAAGGGGAATTGAATATTAATGTTAACCGAGCTCAGCTCACTGATTCAGTAGACAATATTTAAGAGAAGAGATTAATGTTTAAACTTTGACAATAGTAGTCCAAGGATTATGTCCAAAATTGACGGACCACACCCTTGACCCTCCCAAAATAATGCTAACTTTTTATTATTTTTCCCAACTTAACTTTTTATCTTTTTAAGTTTTTATTAAGAAAACTTTTTCACTGAGTGGGTCTCATTTCAGTCATTTGATTTGAAAATAATTTTAACACGTGCATTCTCAATGCAACCTTTAATTTATAAGATGCAGAGAGTATTATATTGATAACTTATATTGATAACTTACTTCATTCTCAGAACTGATTCGTGAGTCATCTGCAATTATCATCTCTTTAAGAATTAAACCATCTCCTTCAATAATAAGCCCTTGTATACCTGCATTGTTTACCTACAATTAAGTAAAGAGAGAATATTATAGACAACAGAAAAGTACTATTAAATATAATAAGTTGAATTTAAAAATTATTTAAAAACCTCATTCTTCAAAAAGTCATCGGGTTGGAACTTGGAACAAAACAACTTTGTCTCGGATAGACAAATCATTAATAATGTCATCATTTACCAAGAAGATAAGTATGTGAAAAAATATATATATTATTTTCTAATGCATAAAAGTATAAATAATAAATTATCTTAGTCAATTAATTCTTGAATATTTGAGTCTTAAAATTATGAAATAAGATTGAAATTGACAATAAACGAAAAAAGTGCAATTACACCTCTCAATTTTTTAAATATATACAATTTTACTTGATAGCAGGTTAACATTCCATCTACGAGTTGCATGTTGATATAGACGATGACTTGAATTACGACTTGCCAATGGACCATGAAATGTATTATACATTTTAGTTTCATTTCGAGAATATTATTATGCTTTTTAATTTCATTATAATTATATTAAAGTATCATTTTAATTTTGTTACAATTTCATTCGATTATTATAGTCCATACAAACATATAGTGTTGTGTAAATCATTCTTTCAAAAGATTGAACCTCAATCCTAAGCGCCCCACACTCCGACCTGACAAACATATAGTGGTGTGTAAATCATGATTCACTGTGTAACAACCCGAAACTTTTTTTATGGATGAACATTTTAACAAATGAAAAGAAAGGATCGGAGTGGATAATTATATTACCAGGATATCCAGTTTCCCAAACTTGGTTTTGACGAAATCCACAAGACAAGAAATGCTAACTTCATCTGCAACATCAAGTTGGTGAAACACAATACTATCTTCATCTTCTCCACCACATGAGTGTTTGAGCTTCTCCACAGCTTCCATTCCTCTCTTCTCATCCCTTGCAGTGGCCACTACTACCACACCTTCATTAGCAAGCTGTCTGCATATTTCATATCCTATTCCTCTGTTTGCTCCGCTCACAACACCACACCTCCACACACAACAAACAAATTTAACTCTATCTATTGGATCAAGCGCTTATCACTATACCAAAAGTTATAATTAGTAGCGAAAACACAACTTTTCATGACTTGATACGACTTTGTTAGATCAAAAGCTTATTACTATGCTAAAAGTTATAGCTATTAACAGAAGCATAACTTTATTTCCTTAATTCTTTATAAACCGTCATTACATTTTCAAGAGTTAGAGTGTTGATGTTGGCCCTCACCGGCCTCCGCCCAAACATACTCATAACATCAAAACCATGAATAGAATGTTCATAGTACATACATACCTTCTGCTACTGCTGGCGGCGCTCATTTTAGCTTCCATTATATATTTATATATTTGAGTTCTTTAACTGGCCTGGCTATGGGCTATGGCAGAAGTAAATTCGAGGCTCCCGGCGCCACCAGTCTCTGCAGTCTCCACACAGCGGTTATATATAAAAGTTGTGGTGAGTCGGTGGTGAGAAATAGGAATATTCAAATTTCAAACGCGCACGCCTCGCCTCTTCTACGACGACTTTGATTAATTGGAAGCCAAGTCCTCTTTTTGTTCATTTATGAATTAATGGGTGCAGCACGCATGGATAGTTCAACTGGTCATAAAGGTGAAAGTTTGGAGGAATGATCAGGGATTGAGTCTTACCAGCGACAGTGTAGGAGTAACTCTCAAAGTGAGGAGTGCTCCTTAGGAGCTCTTTGTGCGCAATGGTCAAAAGTAAAGTCTAGCCTCTGTGATTCATGTATAGGGTTGGGGTTCAACCTTTTGGAGGATTGAATTAATGGGGACAAAATTATATCGTGGACCCAACCCCAAGTCCCAACTACTTAAAATTAATATTATTCCTATATGAAAAATTTGTGTATAAATATATAATATTGCAAGTATATAAAAATAGCACAAACAGTTCTGAATCTATATACCTACACTATCGAATTTATGTACATGCAGTAGTAAATTTGTATACTTATATTAGTTAATTAATGTACCTAAAGTAGTGAATTTATATACATAAATAGTGAGCCATGATTGAATAGTGCAAGAGACCAACTACAATTGAACCACTAAATCAAATATATTAATATCCAGTTAACATATTTCAAAATAATCATTACATTACAAATTTAATAAAATTTAGAATAAATCATTTGTAGTTATAATTTAACCGCACAAAGCAATGTGCATTGATATCCATTATTTAGAAGCAAGCAAAACAACTATTTAAAATAAACAATAGAATATGAAACAAAAATTAACCAAACAAGTAGTTAGAAACAAAAACAAAAATTAACTTGAAAAATATGCATTGCTTTTAATGACAAATTATCTTGTTATATTATATATGCCACTGTATATATGTATGGTTCTAGAGAGAGAAACTCGTAGGTAGGTTAAATAAGGTTAGTTTAATTTGAATATGAGTCAACAATATACTGAAGACATAATTTGAAATGAAATAGTACTGGAGAAGTTGAGAAGATGATGAAGTTTACAACTTAGCTGGTAAGATTAATTTAAGTGCGAGGGGGACCAAATATTTTGAAGAGACAACAAAATTTTAATATTCTACAGAGTATATAATAATTTTTTTTATAAAAATTAATATTATATATAATATTAAAAAAAGGGGTGGGGGAGGGGCCAAGGCCCCCCTGGCATACACTTGCCTCCGCCCGTGTAAATAGTGATTTATTGTAATTTATGTACTTAACGTAACAACTATAGTGACTTTTGTGTGTGTGTGAAAGGAACGATAATGACTTTTATGAACCAAATTTATGTATCAAAATTTATAGATTTATTTTTAATAATTTAAAAAATTAATATTTGTGTTATTTAAAAGATGTTAATTAAAATTTTTTAATGATATATTTTGTATATTAATTTTATTTATACAAAAAGAGAAAGAGCAAAAAAATTTAGGAAGTAATGTTTTTGGACCAACATCCACCTTTTCACCGGGTCCAAAACTACGTTTCATAACTTACATAAATGATGCATTTAGTAGTATTTTTTTTTTTTTCCGAATCAGAAATAATGTTGGTACTACATATACCTAATGATTTGTTAATTTTTTGTACATAATATATTGATGGCATATACATAATTTGTTAAATACTTGTTTATAAAATCAATACTTTAATTCCATAATAAAAACTTGAGTAAATATTCAAAATGATCCCTCGACTAAATTCACAAATTGTTCCTCAATTTTTAATTTCAACCAATTAAGTCCTTAACTTTGCAATTTTAACACAATTTGGTCCTCCGTCTATTTGACCGTGATCTTTGAGGATATATATGTAATTTCACGCACAAAGCTCAAAAGAATTTTGACCGGTTCAGCTTGCCTACGCCGCTTGGAGTCACGACTTTCTTGAAGAGCCGCTCCAAGGACTTCGTCGATCTATCTATCAAAAGTTATAATCTCTCCGGCATGAGGTGCAGCTCCGGCCTAATCTCGATCGATCTCGCACGTGACCTCTTGTACGTGCACCCCAACTCTAACGCCCTGGTGGTTAGCACGAAGATGATTACGCCCAACTATTACCAAAGGCGACCGAATTTGGTAGATTGCTTTCGGCAGTGGATTCAAATGTAACATTGCGGTCTGAGAATGCAACCGGAACCTTAAAAAAACGACGATGGACCGTTAAATTACTTATATATCCTCAAAAATCACAGTCAACAAATGGTCAAATAGACAGAGGACCAAATCGTGTTAAAATTGCAAAGTTAAGGATTTAATTGGTTGAAATTGAGAGTCGAGGACCAATTTGTGAATTTAGCTATAGTTGAGGGACTATTTTGGGTATTTACTCTAAAAACTTACTAATTTTGATCTAAATATATATATTTTAATTGTACTGACCCAACACAAGCAAATGATGCTATGGAACCGGGTCTGGCCATTAGCATTCCCGTGCAGAGAGAGCGTGTATACTATAGAATTCAATAAGTCTTAGAAAGGCTCTTATAAATAGTGGTGCAAATTCACTTTTCAAATCAATTTGGGACAAAGACTATTTTAAAAAGCCTTACCCCTTCATTTTTTTCAACTCAAATAGGTCTGCTTTGAGATTCAATTTCTCATTCACCCATTATCCGTTTTGAGCGTACAATATATCAATCTCTTTGTCTCACTATGAAGAACTCTCTCGTATGAAAAAACCAATCTAGCCAGCACTTTAATTGACCCTTAACTGGGCCGACTCGCTCGAACTGTGATTAGTTTGAATATGGTATGGGATTAAAAGTGTCTCCGACCTACAGTTATGTGCACATCTATATTCAATTTGAACCCATTTTCCATCAACCAAAATGTAATCCATTAACAGATGCAAATATTACATAATATAAGTGAATATATAATAATATAAGATAACAATCCCATAAGTGCATCAAATTAGCAGTCTTGCTAGCTTCATCATTCATTGATATTGTTGCAGCACCTTAATCTTAATGTGTTTTGCGCCGCATTATTATCGTCATCCATGTCACCCTTCTCTAGTAATAAGAAAAGTAGTTTAATTTATCAAACATGCATGCATGCATCCATTATCAGCTCTAGAAAGCCATAATATTTGTCCTGGAGAAGAATAAGCCAGAAGGTCCATCATCGGGCATCAGAGCTAGCTTCACGATGCTTTCAGCGCCCTCCATAGGGGTTAACATCCCACTATTAATAGTCATATCAGTCTTCACATACCCTGGGCACACACAATTTATGCAAAATTTTGGATATTTTTTAGCTAAAACCCTTGTGTAAGCATTCACTGCTGCTTTGGAGACTTTGTAGGCTGGGGCATATCTTGCCCAACCTTTTGCTTCTGCTTCCTTGCAATTCTTGAGAAATTCCTTCACCACTTCATCTACCCTTTCCTCTGATAGGCTTTCGCCATTGCTCAATACCTTTCTAGCCCTTTCATTTGGCAGCAACTGTATGTATATTCAATTATATATAGGATATCCAACAGAAGTAGTGTGGGAGCAACCTCTCAAAGTGAGGGGCTCCTTATATGCAGTAAGCAAATATCTAATCTCTGTGATTCAGCTGAGATATCATGATTTACATCTTTTCAGAAGTTCTGTCGGGCCGGGGTGTGGGCCCTTGGGATTGGAGATTAACCTTTTGGGAAGAATTATATATAGGATATACACTTAGTTACTATGAACTAGATGTTAAATGTATGAAAGTAAGAGTTGATGATCACACCTTTAGGTTCCCCAGAGTAGAGGAAACGTTGACAATTCTAGGGGAATGGGAAAGCTGGAGAAGAGGTAGAAATGCTTCAACCATTCTTTTGGTGCCATAGTAGTTTGTGTTAAGGCACTGTTTAGCCAATTCATAAGTTTGAATGATTGCGCCGTTACTTTTCAACTCAGTTTCTGGCTCCTGCATGCGTCAAACAGAGAAATTTATGCAATTTTTATAAGATGGAGAGAGTATTATATATGGATAATTTAGATTACTTCTTTTATAGAATTGGCTCGTGAGAAATCTCCATCTATCATCTCTTTTAGAATTGAAGTATCTCCTTCAATAATAACTCCACCGATCCCTGCATTGTTTACCTACAATTCAGTAAAGAAAGAAGATTAAACGATATAAAATGTTATTAATTAAATACAACTAATTGAATTTTCTTTTTGTTGAGTACTATTGACTCTGTTACAATGTAGTATCTGTCCGTACATACTTTCTCAACCTATTCATTCTCTATGTTGGAGTCTGTGGCCCTATGAACTTTTATTTTATTTTATTTTGTAAACTTTGTATTTGAGTCATAAATAGTATTTACTAAACAAAACTATTGTCTAAATTTTATTTTGAAGAAAATATCAAATAAATCACTAAATTTTTACGGTACGTACAATTAGGTCACTAAACAAAAAAGTTATACAATTAAAATATTTAACATTAAAAATTTGAACAATTAAGATTATTTATAAGTGAACAATAAGTTTTTTTTAGTAAACTTGAGATGTGACATACAACATGGAAAATAAAATATTTTTTCTCTACTAATTTAACAAGCATAGTATATTATTAAAGAACATTTTTTAAAAAAAATGCTCCACCCTTCAAATCGAATGAGGATGCAGGAGGAAGCATAGTCCTCTGTCGACGTTGACAGAGAAGGTTGCCTCTTCCTCCGTCAACGAGGAGGTTGAATTGCCTCCTCCGTAAAATATTGATTTAATATATATATATATATATATATATATATATATGATTTTTTTTTTAGTACTATTGACTTTATTACAAGTTACGTAGTATATGTTTTATACTTTTTATTATCTGTTGTAGTTCAAAAAGTCAATACCCTACTATTGTAATCTGGGTTCGATTTTGTGACATTCGCTCAAGGAGAGTCACAAAATTGTCATGTTTGTCAAATAAGAGGGACAAAGACTCAAATAGGACAAAAACATCAAGTGTAGACCAAAACATGACATTTTAAAAAATTGACGAAAATAGAAAAAAGACATTTAAAAAAAGCGTATGTATTTTTGTCCAACTTTTTAAAATGTCCTATTTTTATCCACACTTAATGTTTTTATCCTATTTGAGTCTTTGTCCCCAAATAAAATATATAGTTGGTTATTGGTACATGTGAAAATTGAAAATTTGAGTCTTTGTCCCCAAATAAAATATATATTTGGTTATTGGTACATGTGAAAATTAAAATTAAAAAGAAAAATGTTGACAGCCCAAATTTAGCTTAGTAATTTTTAGTAGACCGTATTTGAGAGAATGGACTATGGTTCGAAACTTAACTGTAATAATGTGCGAATCACTTCTACAGTGAGCAAATCTTTTGTGCACACTGATATTTGACTCTATCTGCTGAGTCACTTAATTAATGTAATTTACCTTCTTCACATGCTCTGTGGGACTAGAGTATGGAAGATTATATAGGGTTGGTGATTCAATCTTTTGGGGAAGAGAATAAAAAAAATGTTTAGCTAGAACAGATCAGAAGAAATGAAAAGAAAAGAAAGGATCAGAGTGGATAATTACCAGGATATCCAGTTTCCCAAACTTGGTTTTGACGAAATCCACAAGACAAGAAATGCTAACTTCATCTGCAACATCAAGTTGGTGAAACACAATACTATCTTCATCTTCTCCACCACATAACTGTTTGAGCTTCTCTACAGCTTCCATTCCTCTCTTCTCATCCCTCGCAGTGGCCACTACTACCACACCTTCATTAGCAAGCTGTCTGCATATTTCATATCCTATTCCTCTGTTTGCTCCGCTCACAACACCACACCTGCTAGGCCTCCCCACACAACAAACACAAATTTAACTCAGAATAATTGAAGCATGTGCTCCATCTCAACTAAAAGCTTAAGCTGATAGTTGGGTTACACATTAATGGTTATATGCTCAACAATAATAACATCAAAACCTACCATGAATATATAGAATTTTTCATACCTTCTGCTACTGCTGCTGCTCATTTTAGTTCTTCGATCAACTCGCAAGCTAAGGCAATAATGGCAGAAGTAGATTAGGGCTAAGGCTAAGGCTGTGGCACCTCTCTCTTCACTCTATGCACGCAAGCAAGCAGCCACACACAATGGTTACTTATAAAGGTATGAAAATAATTGCACGGCTCCTCTACCATCACTTCAATTATTTCCGATCCTCTTCTGAATTCAACTATAGATGACAGAAATAGAAAATATTATTTTAGAACATAGGGTGTGATTGAGACATTGAGTAGAATGAACTCATTCATCTTTAATCAAATTTGAATGGGTCTATCAATAACTTTGAGTATGAAGCAGTTTTAAAACTTCAAATCATTAGGTGTTCAATCTTTAGAAATGTCACAATCATTGGTGAAGGAATGTCATTGATTTTGGGTATGGAGAAGTTCTAAATCTCTAAATCAACTGTCACAATCCTAGCTCAATGAAGGGATAAATTATGACTATAGGTGAAAAGTGAAAACTCTGAATCATAAAAAAAATGACAATATTATTTATGTTAGAGTAATTTTATATGTATTCATTGTTTTGATTGCTTACAAGGGCTGAGTCATGTGTCAAGTACCTCATGTTCAGATGACATGTAGTGATCACTCCCATGTCGAAGGTTATGAGAATGAGTTTCAGTGGAGGCGTTGTTAATTTGAGCATATGGAGTATCTTATATATATATATATAAATTATTATGTGGCTGATTGGCAGATAAGATTCTTGATTCTTTAAATAATTGTCTATTCCCAATAATACGACGGAAATTACTAGTCACCGACAGCTCTCAATCTCTTAAGTATTTCTTCATTCAATTTCTTTTAATCTATCCATACCCTAACAGTTTGTAAAATTTTAATTTATGTGTCACAATCTTATTATAATCTTATAATATTATATATTATATAAAGGAATAAGTATCAAATAATCACCGAACTATACATGATAATATAATTACGCCACTAAACTTAAAAAGACTACAATTAAATCTCTAAACTAACTCATTTTATGTCATTCGTCTAATTTATTGATTTTTCCAATTTTTAAAAAATAATTTTAAATAAAATAATTATTTCAAATAAAATAAAATAAAACAAAATATTAAAAAAAAACTTTATCTCCTTCAGAGATGAAGATACCTTCTTCGTCTCCATGGTTCTTTGTCTCCGACGGAGACAGATTTTTTTTTTTAATAAAAAATAATTATTTTATTTAAAATTATTTTTTAAAACATATTTTAAAATTATGTGACTTGTTAGAAATTGAGAAAACTGGTAAATTTGACGAATTGCATGAAAGGGGTTAGTTTAGAGATTCAATTATAATTTTTATTTTGGTTCAGTGACCTAATTATATTATCGTGCGCAGTTCAATGGTTTATTTGACCCTTATTTCTATTATTACAAATCTCTCTATTTTTTTTTTAAATACTCATTATTCTATACAAGATTGTATCTTCAATCTTGTGACCACCATTTTATAATAATAATAAATGTATCAACACACTACATAATATTATAATATTATAAATCTTTCAATTGTCAAACTTGTCATACACAGATTTAAACCACTTAAAGCCAAAATACTAGTCAAACTTATCATATTGTAAACGTTTTTTAGGCATACAGTCATTATGGACTATATTGGATGAAACAAAAATTTCCACACATTCAGATAAGCTGATAAGATTGCAAATTTTTAGAGTTAATTCTAGCAATGGCCCTCCAACTATATTGATTTTCTAAAATTAATCATCGACTTTTAATTTGGACATTTTATGTCCCTTGACTTTCAATTTCTTTCCAATTGAGGTCCTTTCGTTAGATTACAGTAAATTGCACTTTAAATAAAAGGGTAAAATTGTAATTTCATCTGCCTAATGTATAATTCTTCGTATTTCTCCCTTGTATGCGCGACTTCGGACATCAGATTCACTTAATTGCTTAATCTCTAAATCCACTCGAAGAACAAAATTCCATTAGAGATTAAGCAATTAAGTGAATCTGATGCCCGAAGTCGTGTATATAAGGAAGAAATACGCAGAATTATACATTAGGCAGATGAAATGACTACTTTGTCCTTTCATGTAAAGTCCATTTTACCGTAATCTGACGAAAGGACCTCAATTGGAAAGAAATTGAAAGTCAAGGGATGTAAAATGTCCAAATTAAAAGTCGATGACTAATTTTGAAAAATCAATATAATCGGAGGACCATTGCTGGAATTAACTCACATTTTTATTAGGCTATTTGACTGTTATTAGTCTTAAATTGCCAGCTTCCCATTTGTATAAATTAAACAATTTCATATTGCGGCCATCATTTCCTTTCTTGGCTGGTGATGGATATATTGGGAGCGAGTCCGGAGCAAACCGACTCTAGGCAAGGAGGCGAGGAAACCATGATGATGGTGGTGAGGATGAGTACGTAACGATTTTCTCTGGGTTTAAATGAGTCAACAATGAAACAAGTCATCAAATTATTTTTATTTAAATTCCATGTCAGCATTATGGAAGGGTTACCAGACGAAAACCTGGAGAAAATGCTAATTCAGAGGCATTTTGGTCTTTTTATGGTTGTCTCTTCTCTTTTAATCCCAGCGCTTCCTCCTCCTCCTCCGATATTCGAAGATGGCTCTTCGAACAACGAGAATGGGAAGCCAAAGCTACATCTTTTCGTTCGTTCCAACGTGGGCCGGCGAGGTTTCTTAGGTTTTAGGTTTAATATTCTCATTTCTTTTAGTCAAACATAGTCTTGGATGAGAAGAAAGATCAAAATACCCTTAGATTACACGGCCTCTTGATGAAAATACTAACGGTGGACTAAAAGCGGAACACATTCAATAATAGTGGTCATGAAGTGGCAAAAAAAATTTAAGGTGGACTAAAATTGGAAACACCCATATAACAATAGGACCAAAAATGGAATTCACTCATGTGGCTAATTATATCTTATTTTAGAACAAGAAATTAATTAGGCATTTACGAGTAGTAGATAAACTATTTGACACTTCTACCAATATTATTTTGAAACATTTTATTCGAATGCTCCATTTTGTAACCAAAAGACATAAAAAATTGATTGGATAACAATTAATTTTGATGATTTTATTAGACTAAATCTACCATAAATTAAGTTATAATTTCGAGTAAAAGCCAAAAGGCCTAGTAAAATGAGTAAGGAAAATTGGACCGTTTAGAAGATTCCTTCTTTCTATTCCAAAGGAAAGAATACAAGCCCAACATGAGGCAAATTATGGCATTTTATATCATGAATCAGGGTCCACGAAGTATGATGGTCTCTAGATCGAAAGGACGAGATACAAAATCCATATTTGTAAGGTACAGAATTTCATAACACAAGACACATATATATGTTATATATTTATTTATTTTTCAAATATGATTTATGTACATAATTTGTGTTCATAGGCTCAAAATTTCACAAGACAAGATACAGAAAATCATAACATAAGACACAATTATTAATTTGTTCCAGGTACAGAATTTCATAACGTAAGATACAAAAAACCACAACACAAAACACATACACTGATACACATGAACCAGGGTCTACAGTGCAGTGTGAACCCTGGTCAATGGTATAAGGATTGGCAAATTATACCATGGACTAGGGTTTACATTGCATTGTGGGTTCTGGACTAAAACGACATTCAAATTATGTACATGCAGTTAACATATTGTGTACATTCAGTTAACATATTATGCACTTTCAGGTTAACAAATTATGTTCATGTAAATTAATTGACCTGTACAGAATATGTTAATTGTAATAGGTACATAATTTATTAACTGAAAATACATAATATGTTAATTGCAAGTACATAATACGTTAATTGTAATAGGTACATAAAGAACATAATATGTTAATTGTAGATACATAATTGTTAATTATAATAGATACATAATTTATTAACTGAAAATACTTAACTATACCATATACATACATAATTTGAATGTTATTTTGAATTAATTGCCACATATGCAACCAAAGCAAGTTTGCCCATGAACAGGGATTGCTTGATGGATATCACTTAGAACAACCTCATAGTTTCAAATTACTCTCCTAAGTCCAACTAATTGTGCAATTATGTGTTCTGATTGAAAAAAAAATAAAAAAATCTCGAATGAGTTCTTTTAAACTAATAAAATAATGTAATTAGATTCTATTCTATTATTATCTATTCAGTAAGTTATTAAAAATGTGGTGTTGAGTGCTGACAAATCTAACATTTGATGCTCTAATGCTTTAAGGAATTTTAATTTAACAATTTTTACAATAACTAGTGATTATTTCTATCAACATACAACCTGTCAGCACTAGAATGTCTCAGAATATCATTTGTTAATTTAGTTAACACTACATTAATGATAACATATTGAATAGATAATAATATAACCTCATTGCATTATTTTATTTGTTTGATGAGTCATATTAAAATTCTTAATCCCAACTTAACACTTCTCCTAATTTGAAATTTGAATTCAAAACCATTCAAGAAGGATACAAAATATCACTTCTGAAAAGTTTAATTGAAAATTTATTTAGTATAGAATTATTTTGACCAAGAATAAGAAGAAAAACTTAGGGTGCATTTGATTCAGATTATATAAGATAATCAAGATTATATTTGCTTGGTAATATAAGATTCTCATGTTTGGTTCAGGTTATATAATTTTTCCATAGAATTTCAGATACTTTCGCATTAAATTTTTATCTATTGAAAGGGAATATGAGATACCCTCCATTTCTTAGATAGTAGGGAATGTGAGATACCCTCTAATTTCTTAGATAATCTCACATTCCCTTGTCTCATTACTAATGTTGGGCATTGGACATTTTAATTAATTTATCTTATTACCTTTTGTCTTATTTATCTATCTTAGTTTTAAATCAAAAGAATCTAACATTTTCAGCCGTCTAACATTTTCTAAGATAATCTAACATTTCTTTAAATAGTTAAGGCTATTTAACAGTTAAAATAAAGCGAAACGTTTCCATAAAGCTAAAGTACTTTGACTTATCAAACGTTTATGAGGCATTGAATCAAACTTAAATTTCCACAAATAGCACCTTTATTGAGGCTATTTAACAGTTAATCTTGCCAGCTTCCCACTCGTACAAGTAATTTCAGACTTCGCCCATCATTTCCTTCAAGATTTCAGCTCTGAACTCCATTAGGGTTCGCCATTCGAGTAAACAAAGGTAAGTGGTAGCTCTAAAGAGCAATTTAAAAATGTTAATGATTGGCTAGCTGCGTAGTGTTTGATAAAATGCCCATGTTAAACATATTATGTTTTTTCAATGTAATTTTTTTCAATTCCTTTTTGTCACTAGAATATATGGGAGGGTTCTTTCTAGTTTGATCTCCAAGTGATTAATCTTGTGTTCAATTAGGCGAGTTTGATGGTGCCTTTGTGCTTGAGCAGGTTCTGAAGCGGTGTAGTCTATACAAAATCCATTGGGGTTTAATTCCTTTCCCTTAGTTAGTAGTATGTATCATCTTGCTGTAATTTTAATCTATCTGCGCATTTATTGTTGCCTGGAGCTTAAAGGATTTCTGCGGCCATCAAATTAAGGCATATTGATTGAACATGGTCATCAAATTTGTGCATGAAAATTTCATTAGTAACTTTTCTTGCATTTGAAGTTCAATTTTTAAGTTTCTTTCTGCAAGTCTTGTCTCCAATGATTGACCAATCCAGTGCTGAAGTTTATGAATATTTGGTACTCTGTAAATGGGATACACTTAGAGAGTACTTTGTACATAATTAGAGAACTGCTTATGATATTCTTTGGATTTCAAGACTCTCTATATGGATTATACCTAGGGAATACTTAATTAGATAACTGCAGCTATAGATTATTTGGGATTTCAAATTTCAGCATATACTTTGTACTTTGATGGATTTTTCACAGGAATACTTTGTACTTTATGCAATTGAGTAATTGACCAATCTGCTACCGAGTGTTTAAATGGCACTTGGTATGATTTTTCCTGACAGTATCCTTATGTGAAGGAACTAGGAAGTCTATTTATGTAATTGATTAGGATATACATATGTAACCAAGTCAAGAAACTGCCAAAAGTGTTTCTATGTATTGGAGCTTCAGAGCTTTGTTTTAGTTTCACTATTTTTTTTTTTTTTTTTTTTTTTTTTATATCTCAGCCTTACCCTCTATTCTACAGAGGTCGTTATTTCAGTCTTCACAGAGTAGCATTCCATTGAGAAGAAAATGGTAGCCACAAGCAATGGAAATCTTCAAGAAGATTGCATGCCTGAATATGATAGGAGAAATGAAGTTCAAGCTTTTGAAGATTCAAAAGCCGGTGTAAAGGGCCTCTTTGATGCTGGGCTGACAAAGATCCCACGGATATTTCTTAACAAACAGTCCATCCTGGAAAAGAACTCAGCTGGTGCTACACCTCAATTCGTTATTCCAGTCATAGACTTTGAAGGCTTGGGCAGTAGTGTTGCTAGGCGAGTTGAAATTGTTAACATGATTAGGGATGCCTGTGAAAGCTGGGGTTTTTTCCAGGTGATCAACCATGGTATTCCGGATGATGTCATGGACAAAATGCTCGAAAGTGTGCAGCATTTTCATGAGCAAGACTTTGAGTTGAAGAAACCTTTCCATTCACGTGATGTCAAGAAGAAGGTCACATACAATAGCAATTTTGATTTGCTCGTGGCACCAACAGCCAATTGGCGGGACAGTCTTTACTGTATCATGGCTCCAGATCCCCCTGAACCTGAAGAATTACCCAATGTCTGCAGGTTAGTGGGTTACCTTCTTCTGTTCATTTAAAACCTCTAGTATTCCTATAATCCTATGTCCTACTTATATACCAGCCATTGTTTTGAAATAAAAAAATTGTTCAACTTTCAGGGATATCATGATCAAATATGCAGAACATGTCATGAGTTTGGGTTATACACTGTTTGAATTGCTATCAGAAGCTCTTGGGCTTGATCTAGATCACTTGAAAGGAATGGATTGTGCAGAGGGGCTTTACATTATTGGCCATTATTATCCTCCATGCCCTGAACCGGATTTGACTTTAGGCCTTAGCAGCCACACTGATAGTGGCTTCCTCACTCTTCTTTTACAAGATCAACTGGGTGGCCTCCAAGTTCTGCATGAAGATGTGTGGGTCGATGTTCCTTTCTTTCCCGGATCATTGATAGTAAACATTGGAGATATGTTACAGGCAAGTAAAACGACGTTAGTGAATTAATTTATGGTACAAACCATATCATTATTATGGTTATTTTGATTTACATTCTTTCTACAGCTTCTCACGAACGATAAGTTCAAAAGTGTTCATCACAGAGTGCTAGCAAAGCCGGTAGGTCCCAGAATTTCGGTGGCTAGTTTTTTCAGAATGCATTTTCAGGAAGGCAATGGCACAAAAACTTATGGTCCAATAAAGGAGTTGTTATCAGAAGAAAAGCCTGCAATCTACCGGGAGACCAGCAGGAATGAGGTTACAATGGTTAGGTACAACAAAGGGCTTGATGGAAGTACTTTGCTATCTCATTTCAAGTTGCAAAACTAGTGGATAGATATAAAATCCCCTGTTGAATAAGAAGGAAACCTTGAGTTTGTGGTCACAGGTGAAATGTTCTAGCATAAATTTTCTCACAGAGATTACCACTGCTGCTGGTTTGTGTATCAGCATGTGATAAATAAGGTAATCCTATATAAATGGAATATTTGTAGTCTGTATGATTTATTAGGACTCTATGTATTTGAGTTTGATTATAATTCTCTATCCCAGTCTCACTGAGACTTCCTTCTTAGATATACCTGTAATATGTACATTGTATTATTTTTATTGAATACAACTCTATCAGTTCTCATCTGGTATCAGCTAAGCTAGGGTTTCTTTCCAATGACTAACGAATCTGTTAATTCCTCTGAACGGACCGTCTCTAATGTTCCTCTCTCTTCTGCTACATCAGTGGTTAATTCTTTGTCCACCGCTCACCACTTCATCAGCATTAAGTTGACCTACAAAAACTACTTGTTCTGGAGAGCTCAGGTTGTTCCGTTTCTTAATGGTCATGATCTTCTTGGATTTTTTGATGGAACAAATCCATGTCCATCGGCCACCCTCCCCGTTGACGGCGATGATTCGGCGGCAACACAAAATTCGGCACCCCGTGCGTGGGTCCGACAAGATCAAGCCTTATTATCTATGTTGATGTCATCTTTCTCCGACAAAGTCATGCCTCTCGCGATCGGCCACCGCACCAGTCGTGCTGTCTGGACTGCTGTGGTTGGTGCGCTGGCTTCATCCTCTCGTTCTCGTGGTCTAAATTTGCTCGGCCAATTGCAAACACTCAATCAAGGAGATATGTCTGCGACTGACTATATTGGCAAGGCAAGGGTTTTGATCGAGGAACTCACTCTCGCCGGCCGACCTATGACGCTTGAAGAACAAAATCTTTACGTTCTTCGGGGGTTACGACCAGAGTTCAGGGGTCTCGCGTCGTCTCTCAACGTGCGCGGCCAGCCGGTTACTTTCCAAGAGCTTGCAGATCTCTTGGGCGCGGAGGAATTCTTGATGCGTGGTGGTCCCGGGGGTGGCTCGCTGGCTGCCTTCACGGCGCATAAAGGCGGCCAGAAGGGTCGCGGCTCCGGGCGTCATAACGCCGGACGTGGATCTGGCCAGACCAACGGACAAAACAGCTGCCAGGTCGAACAGTCGCGGGGTGGCGGCGGCGGCCGTGGACGTAGTGGCGGGCGCAATGGCAATTGGTAACCCAAGTCTCAACTTTGTCATGCGTTCGGTCACACTGCTTCTACCTGTCATCTTTGGTGTACCAAGGATCATCAAGCTAATGTTACTTGAACGAGTGATACTAGGAGAAATACTATTTGAATTGCTATCGGAAGTTTTGGGTCTGAAACCGAATTACTTGAACGAGCTAGAGTGTTGAGAGGTTGCACGTTAGTATTATTAGGACTTTATATATTTGAGTATGTTTAAGATTCAAAATCCTAGTCTCTCTTTGTCCCCTTTTGTATATATACCTCGAATCTGTACTCTTGTAATCATCACTGTTAATATATTCAATAACAGTTATCATCTGGTATCAGAGCTAGCTAGGGTTTCTTTCCCATGACCAACAGATCTGTCAATTACTCCGAACGGACCGTTTCCATTGCTGCTATCTCATCGGTCACTGCGACCATAACCACCCTATCCACCGCCCACCACTTCATCAATATCAAGCTGACCTATCGGAACTTCTTATTCTAGAGAGCTCAAGTTGTTCCTTTCCTCAACGGCCATGATTTAATATGTTTCATCGACGGCTCGAACCCTTGTCCGCCGGCCATGATCTCAACCGGCAAAGAGGGTGCGTTGCCGCTGCTGAATCCCGCTCGTTCCGCATGGGTTCTTCAAGATCAGGCGCTCCTCTCTATGCTCATGTTGTCGTTGTCGGATGAAGTTATGCCCTTGGCGATCGGCCATCACACTAGCCGTGCCGTATGGACTGCCGTCACCTCTGCACATCGAGCTTGGGTTCGACAGGATCAGGCCCTCATGTCCATGCTTATGCCGTCATTATCCGATGAGGTGATGTCGTTGGCCATCGGTCATCACACTAGCTGGGCGGGCTGGATTGCCGTCATCGGCTCCCTTGCGTCGTCGTCTCGCTCTCGCGGCTTGAATTTGCTCGGCCAGTTGCAGTCGCTTCACCAAGGAGATGCGTCCGTCATCGACTACATCGGGATAGCGAGGATTTTGGTTGAGGAGCTTACCCTCGCTGGCCGGCCAATGTCTCTCGAGGAGTAGAATCTTTACGTCCTCAGAGGGTTACGCCCTGAGTTCCGGGGGCGCACGTCCTCCCTCAATGTTTGCGGCCAGCCCGTACCCTTCAGGAGCACTCTTAACTTTAGAGTTTTGATGGGATCCGTGTGTCACTACTATTCACTATGCTCGCGACAAATTGAACGAAAGACCAGATGTGAAAGAAATTAAATAATTATGTACTAAAATTGTAAATTGAATGAAGAATCAAATATAAAAGAAATTGAATAATAATACCCTAAAATTTAAAATTTAATAAATCAAGGGGCCAAAAGTGGAAAAAAGAAAACTCATAAAAGGTTGCCTGTGAATAGTATTTTCCATATCGCATTGAGAAGACAATTAAGGTGTGTTTGGTTCGCATATAGGAATCGGAATGGGTATCAAATAATTGGTAATGGTAATGGGTTTTGGTGAAAGTATTTAACATGTTTGGTAGTATGGTGGAATGAGAATGGTTACTAATAGTAGTGCTTGAGAATGAATAAGGGAATGAAACCTTTATTTTATTTGGATATGGGTTTTTCAATTCATGGGGTATTCGAAACCCATAGTAGTGTTATAAAAATCTATCAACCAAAAAACAACAATCACTTTCATACCCATTCCTATGGACAAAACCCACCAACCAAACACACCCTAATTGTTGTCTCAGCCATACCCTCTTTTAATTGTTTCAGTCTTCACATATTAGAGTAGCATTATTATTCCATAGAAGAAAATATAATGGTGGACACAAGCAACAATGGAAACTTTCAGGAAGGCATGCAGGCTGCAGAATATGATAGGAGAAGTGAAATTGAAGGATATCACTTAGAACAACTTCAATAATTGAAAAGATAACAATCAACATTTTGAAAAAAATTACTATTTTAAGGGACAATATTTAAACGTGTTTTTTTTTTTTTGAAAGTATTTAAACGTGCTTAATTCTCTAGGAAAAAGAGATATTTTCCTGCCTCGCTATTACAAACACTCTTTGAGCTCCACATGTCACAACCGTGTGAGGTGTGCTAATACACCTCTACTACGCACCTCAAACTTATAAAAAATATTTGAAGAAAATAGTTTCAAATTACTCTCCTAACTCTAACTAATTGTACAATTATGTGTTTTGATTGAAAAAAAAAAAATACTTTGATGAATTTTAATTAAATAATTTTTACTATGACTAGTGATTGTTTCTATCAACATACAACTTGTCAGCATCAGAATATCTCAAAATATTATTTGTGAAATTTAGTTAACAGTACGTTAATGATAACATATTGAGTAGGTAATAATATAACATCATTGCATTATTTTATTTGTTTGATGAGTCATATTAAATTTCTTAATCCCAATTTATCATACTTTAAACGTTTATAAAGGCATTGAATCAAACTTAAATTTCCACAACATCACAAATAGTACGTTTATTGAGGCTATTTAACAGTTAATCTTGTCAGCTTCCCACTCGTACAAGTAATTTCAGACTTCGCCCATCATTTCCTTCAAGATTTCAGCTCTGAACTTCAATGGTATCAGATTCAAGGATTTGATTAAACAAAGGTAAGTGATAGCTCGAAAGGGCAATTTAAAAATGTTAATGATTGGCAAGCTGCTTAGTGTTTGATAAAATGCCCATGTTAAACTTATTATGTTTTTCAATGCAATTTTTTTTTCCATTCCTTTTTGTCACTGGAATATATGGGAGGGTTCTTTCTGGTTTGATCTCCAAGTGATTAATCTTGTGCTCAATTAGGCGAGTTTGATGGTGCCTTTGTGCTTCAGCAGGTTCTGAAGCGGTGTAGTCTATACAAAATCCATTGGGGTTTAATTCCTTTCCCTTAGTAGTATGTATCATCTCAAAGTTGCAAAAATTGCGTCTAAGCGCTGATTAATCGCCGTTCTAGGCGGTTGACCGCCTAATCTTTTAAATTTTTGCATAAACCCAATAAGTCAATATTGCCTCCACTGAGACACGAACTCATAACCTCTTATCTGGGAGAGTAACTTACATGCTCTTGACCACAAGGTCTTTGGCAAATTAAGGCATATTGATTGAACATGGTCATCAAATTAGTGCATGAAAATTTCATTAGTACAAAGAATCAATCTAGTCAGCATTTTGCCCCTTAATTGGACCGACCCGATGTGAACAGGGATTTGTCTGACTATGGTACGGGCTTAAAGGTGCCTCATACAGTTAGGGGTTTAGGGCATGCTCAGGACACCTCGTGGTCTGACAAAAAAAAATTGAACTTCAAATGCAAGAAAAGTTACTAATGAAAATTTTAAACTGCAGCTATAAATTCTTTGGGATTTCAAATTTCTCCATTTAGGTAATTGACCAATCTGCTAGCGAGTGTTTAAATGACACTTAATATGCTTTTTCTTGGACTGTATCCTTATGTGAAGGAACTAGGAAGTCTATTTATGTAATTGATTAGGATATACATATGTAACCAAGTCAAGAAACTGCCAAAACTGTTTCTATGTATTGGAGCTTCAGAGCTTTGTTTTAGTTTCAATAATTTTTTTTTTTTTATCTCAGCCTTACCCTCTATTCTACAGAGGTCATTATTTCAGTCTTCACAGAGTAGCATTCCATTGAGAAGAAAATGGTAGCCACAACCAATGGAAATCTTCAAGAAGATAACATGCCTGAATATGATAGGAGAAGTGAAGTTCAAACTTTTGAAGATTCAAAAGCCGGTGTAAAGGGCCTCCTTGATGCTGGGCTGACAAAGATCCCACGGATATTTCTCAACAAACAGTTCATACTGGAAAAGAAGTCAGCTGCTGCTACATCTCAATTCGTTATTCCAGTCGTAGACTTTGAAGGCTTGGGAAGTAGTGCTACTAGGCGAGTTGAAATTGTTAACATGATTAGGGATGCCTGTGAAAGCTGGGGTTTTTTCCAGGTGATCAACCATGGTATTCCAGATAATGTCATGGACAAAATGCTTGAAAGTGTGCAGCATTTTCATGAGCAAGACTTTGAGTTGAAGAAACCTTTCCATTCACGTGATGTCAAGAAGAAGGTCACATACAATAGCAATTTTGATTTGCTCGTGGCAGCAACAGCTAATTGGCGGGACAGTCTTTACTGTATCATGGCTCCAGATCCCCCTGAACCTGAAGAATTCCCCAATGTCTGCAGGTTAGCGGGTTACCTTCTTCTGTTCGTTTAAAACCTCTAGTATTCCTATAATCCTATGTCCTACTTATATACCAGCCATTGTTAATTTTGAAATAAAAAATTTGTTCAACTTTCAGGGATATCATGATCAAATATGCAGAACATGTGATGAGTGTGGGTTATACACTGTTTGAATTGCTATCAGAAGCTCTTGGGCTTGATCCAGATCACTTGAAAGGAATGGATTGCGCAGAGGGGCTTTACATTGTTGGCCATTATTATCCTCCATGCCCTGAACCGGATTTGACTTTAGGCCTTAGCAGCCACACTGATAGTGGCTTCCTCACTCTTGTTTTACAAGATCAACTGGGTGGCCTCCAAGTTCTGCATGAAGATGTGTGGGTTGATGTTCCTTTCTTTCCCGGATCATTGATAGTAAACATTGGAGATATGTTACAGGCAAGTAAAACGACGTTAGTGAATTAATTTATGGTACAAATCTTATCATTATTATGGTTATATTGATATTGATTTACATTCTTTCTACAGCTTCTCACGAACGATAAGTTCAAAAGTGTTCATCATAGAGTGCTAGCAAAGCCGGTAGGTCCCAGAATTTCGGTGGCTAGTTTTTTCAGGATGCATTTTCAGGAAGGCAACGAAGCAAAAACTTATGGTCCAATAAAGGAGTTGTTATCAGAAGAAAAGCCTGCAATCTACCGGGTGACCACCAGGAAAGAGGTTGCAATGGTTAGGCACAGCAAAGGGCTAGATGGAAGTACTTTGCTATCTCATTTCAAGTTGCAAAACTAGTGAATAGATATAAAATCCCCTGTTGAATAAGTAGGAAACCTTTGTTGAGTTTGTGGTCAAAGGTGAAATGTTGTGGTTTGTGTATAAATAATAAGGTAATTGTTTATAAATGGAATATTTGTAGTCTGTATGATTATCATAAAAGGAGAATATTTAAGCAAATCACTCTTGTTTTCACCAGCTGGCCTGGCATTTTTATTTTCATTTGAACAAGTGTTTATCATTTGAAAATATTGAAACGTGAAAAAAAAAAGTTAGAAAAAATAGGAAAAATTTGGATGTTTATCCCAACAAAATTATCCAGATAATGTCATACTAAATAAATCCTAAGGGTTCTGCAACAAAGAAGATAATGTCCGACTAACCACAATGATTTTGGATGTTTATTGACTAATAATAATTTAATGATTTCTTTTCGACAGAGGTTGCCGGGCAAATTAAACAAGTAACCAAAAATAAAAGAAATTAAATAATCGTACACCAAACTTAAAAAAATTTTATAGCCAAAGATCTAATTTGAAAGAAGTGTCATAGCAAGTATAACTGCTGTAATCTTATGGCTTTATATTGTATAAGATACGGGGTATAAGATTTTCATGTCGGTTGGTTCCTTTATATTATCATGTGATTGATTACAATGATTGGGATATGCATTTATAAGCAACTCAAGAGCGAACTGCCAAAAGTATTAGTTCCAGTCTAGCTTCAATTCACAGATCAGAGTAGCATTCCATAGAAGAAAATGGTGGACACAAGCAATGGAAACCCTCAAGAAGATAGCATAATGCAGGGTGAATATGATAGGAGAAGTGAAGTTGAAGCTTTTGAAGATTCAAAAGCCGGTGTAAAGGGCCTCTTTGATGCTGGGCTGACAAAGATCCCACCCATATTTCTTGACAAACAGTACATTCTGGAAAAGAACTCAGCTGCTAATAATGCTGCTACACCTCAATTCACTGTTCCAGTCATAGACTTTGAAGGCTTGGAATTGGGGGGAAGTAGACGAGTTGAAATTGTTAACATGATTAAGGATGCCTGTGAAAGCTGGGGGTTTTTCCAGGTGATCAACCATGGTGTTCCGCAGGATGTGATGGACAAAATGCTTCAAAGTATACGCCATTTTCATGAGCAAGAGTTTGAGGCGAAGAAACCATTCCATTCGCGTGATATCAAGAAGAAGGTCACATACAATAGCAATTTTGATTTGTTCGTGACACCAACAACTAATTGGAGGGACAGTCTTTACTGTATCATGGCTCCCAATCCGCCTAAACCTGAGGAATTCCCTCAAATCTGCAGGTTACCTTCTGCTCTTCTACAATCTACTTTTATGCCAGCAGCCATGCATTATATTGTTTTGAAATAAAACACACACACACACACATACTAGATCAGATGTGGCAGCCTCCTCTTAGGGATGACAACGGTGGTTCGAACCGAACCGTACACTGTATTAACCGGACCGGAACTGGAACCAATCATACGGTACTAGTACCGGTTCCGGTTAATGTTTGTGAAATTATGGAACCCATTCCGGTTTGTAACCGTATAATATATATACATTAATATATATATATATACATATATATATATATATATATATATATATATATATATATATATATATATATATTTGATATTATATGTATTATATATTATATACTCCTTCCATCCCATTTTACGTATCTGATTTGGTTAATGAGGCTTGACTGAAGTTATTTTTAATCTAATTTTTTATAATATAAAATTTAATATTAATATACAAAATTTATATATTTAAAAACTACACAGTACTATTAAACATAAAAAATTAAATTTAAAAATAAATAAAAAATACTAAACAAAATAAATAAAGAAGAAAAAATTAGTTTGACATATGAATAGAAAATAAGACATATAAAATGAGATTAAGGAATTATTATATATTATTATTATTATTATTATTATATAATTAGGCGTGGGAAACTGGTCCATCCTTTCCCAGTTTCCCATGTCGCCTAAATTCTTGATAAAAGGTGACATGGGAAATTGGGAAAGGATGGAGACATTGGAGTCCCTCAAAAAAAAATTAAATTAAATTAAATTTTAAAAAAATAAATAAAAAATTAAGTTAGAACTGGAGGTTCTAACTGGAATCGTCGGTTCTAGAATTAAATGAGAATTGTCCGTAGAAGGTTCCAGTTATATTAGAATCGTGAACCGGCGATTCCAAATTGAAATCGAACCGAGCACCTTTACTTTTTCTGTGCGGCAATGCGAACGCATCTTAACAGTTGGATGAGCTCAGATCAATGGTCATAAATCAATGAAAATGAGAAAAAACTCTGTAGTATTTTGGTAATTTTTAATGTATATTTTTGTGGTATAGTAAGTGTTGGTTTGTGGTGCACTACTGGACTGTATTGCATTAAGTGTTGGTTTATGGTGCACATGGGAATGTCTAATGGTGCATTAGACTCAAAGCACCATCTAGCATATCTAAATGCACCAGCATAACATTGAGATAACCAAAATGCCACCCACTTTTTTTCACTTTTTATTAATTTTCAACCGTTGATTTAAGCTCATTTAAGTGATCTAACGGTCTCGATCTGTCTACACGTCGGCACAAGAGGAGTCATACGCACCCGTACCAGAGCCTATATATATAATATAATTTGTTGGACTTTCAGGGACATGATGATCAAATATGCAGAACATGTAATGGGTTTGGGATATACTATGTTTGAATTGTTATCAGAAGCTCTTGGGCTTCATCCAGATCACTTGAAAGGAATGGATTGTGCAGAGGGGCTTTACATGATTGGGCATTATTATCCTCCATGCCCTGAACCGGATTTAACTTTAGGGTTTAGCAGCCACACTGATAGTGGCTTCCTGGGAATTGTTTTACAAGATCAACTGGGTGGCCTGCAAGTCCTGCATCAAGATGTGTGGGTTGATGTTCCTTTCTTGCCTGCATCATTGATAGTAAACATTGGAGATATGTTACAGGCAAGTAAAAAGATACAACTAAATTAATTCCTATATACTAGTACGTACAAATCATATCATTATTATTATATTATTATTGTTTCTATATATTGGTTTGCATGTTGTTTTTGCAGCTTCTCACAAACGATAAGTTCAAAAGTGTTCATCATAGAGTAGTTGCAAAGCAGATAGGTCCCAGAATCTCACTAGGAAGTTTTTTCAGAAAGCATTTTCATGAAGGCAGCGACTCAAAAACTTATGGTCCAATAAAGGAGTTGTTATCGAAAGAAAAGCCGGCAATCTACCGGGAGACCAACATGACTGAGGTTTTAATGATTCGGTACAACAAAGGGCTTCATGAAAGTACTATGCTATCGCATTTCAAGTTGCAAAATTAATGGCTCTGTGTGATTATCTTAAAAGTGTCGTTAGGAGTGTTAGCGAACAGAGCTTTCGGTAAACTACTCGTGTTCGTGTTCGGTAAGCGTTCGTTTATGTTCGTTTATTAAGGTAAACGAACATTAACAAACAAAATTTAGAGCTTGGTTTATAAACGAACAGAGTCTGAACAGTTGTAAGCTCGTTTGCTAAGAGATCGTGAACAAGCTCGGTTGTGTTCGTTTAATAATGTTTGCGAACAAGCTCGTTTAGTGTCCGTTTAATAATGTTTGTGAACAAACTCGTTTGTGTTCGTTTAATATTTGTTTGTATTCTCTTTGTAGTTGTGTTACTTGTTTGGTTATTTTTAGTGAACATATATTATTTCTTGTTCACGAACGAATTTTGATCATTAACATGTTCATATGTTTGGTTATTAAGCATTCACAAACGTGTTTATGAACGTGAACGAATATGTTCGTGAACGTGTTCGTTAATGTTAACGAATATGTTCATGAACGTGTTCGTTAATGTGTTAACGAACACGTTCGCGAACACATTAACAAACACTAACGAACGCTTAACAAACGAACACGAACAGGATTTTCAAAAACCTTAACAAACGAACACGTTCACGAACATTCCAAAAATCTTAACAAACGAACACGAACAACCTTCGTTCATTTATGTTCGGTTCGTTAACAGTCCTAAGTGTCGTAAAATTCGACTGTAGACACAGAAAATTTGAAATTGATAAATGGACCGATTAGATTATTATTGGGTCCAATTTCAGGGTTGATTATTGGACCAATTTAATTAAATGAGTCATAATAATTAAATTAATTTAATTAGCCCAATTAAATTTGATCTTGAGTTATTAAATTAATTAATTAATCCTAGCCTAATTTACATTTGAATTTAATATGGTACTATCTTCATGAATGTCACTAAAGTAAACATTTTGTATAATAATCTTGTGACTCTCCTAGAGCTCACATGCGTTGAATTTGGAGCTATATATGCTTTGTCAAAAATTCGTTAACATACACATTTCTCATTTGTGCAACACAAGCTTTATTGTTCTCATATAGGACATTGGGGGTAAGACATAGCATAACCAGTTTGTGACTTGGGCATTATGAGGATCAAATAAAATAGTCAGTATCCAAGTAGCCCATCAAAATCATATATTGCTCTCTCACAAAAATGCCAAAATCTTTGTACCTCAAAAACACTAAAGGATATGTTAAACACTATTCCATTGCAAAAGGAGCATTAAATGATGCTAGTAATTTAATCGCAGATGCTATATCAGTCCTGATGCGATTATGGAACTTCTGGTCCTAAATTAGTACTCCAACAACAATGAAGTAATGGACTCTTCGCTGCCCGATTCCTAAACATGCTTGGAGGCAGGACTTATTCATGACATTGAGCTCCTAGTCACAATTTGAAATTTCATTTCTCTTGTTTGCTTTAGCTGCATCGGTTGGGCATGCCAACTCTAAAATGTCCTATAATCTACAAGCAGGTTTTTGAAACCAAATTTGTCAAGAAATTTTGAACTGGATTGCTAATGAGCGCATCTATTCTATTCATTTTGGATGTGCAAAGTGTCTAAGTGTTATAACTCACCAACTTTTCACGGGCACACAAGGGAGAGCCTAAATGGTAGTGCAAAGTCAAAGAGAAGCTGTTGATTTTGTTTCCAGATCGACATCTACGATGATGGTGGTGATGATGAGGAGAGAGAAAGTAGTGGTTTTCTCTATGTCTGAATGAGTCAACAACGAAACAAGTCATCAAATTACTTTTATTTAAATTTCATGTCAGCATTATGAAACAATTACCGGAGAAAATGTTAAGGGAACACAATTTTAAAAGTAAATCTGGTCAATTAGATCTTATTTTAGAACAATGTGTTAATTGAACACTTGCAAGTGATAGATGATTGGGGGGGGGGGGGGGGGGGGGGGGGGGGGGGGGGCAAATTATGTCGTGCAACAGTGGGCACACTGCTGCAAAAACGGCGTCGTTTTGATGTCCAACTTTATAAAAAAAATCAATTGTTGTTAATGGCGTTATGCTGTGCATAATTTGAACTATATATCCAGAATTAATGAATTATATATCCAGAATTAGTGAATGATATATATCCACACCGGATACTGGTACTCTGTTTTGGCTTATGCCAGTTCGCTGCGTCTGTGTATTCAGAATGAATGAACTATATATTCAGAATTAATGAACTATAAATTCAGAATTAGTAAACTATATATCCAGAATTAATGAACTATATATCCAGAATTAGTGAACGATATATATCCACACCGGTTACTGGTACTCTGTTTTGGCTTATGCCAGTTCGCTGCGTCTGTGTATTCAGAATGAATGAACTATATATTCAGAATTAATGAACTATAAATTCAGAATTAGTAAACTATATATCTAGAATTAATGAACTATATATCCAGAATTAGTGAACTATGTATCCAAAATTAATGAACTATATATCAGAATTAGTGAACTATATATCCACACCGAAAATGGTGGAAATCCCGTCAATTAGAATTTAAAAAAAAAAAATTGGTTGGTGGAGTTAAACGATGTCACTAAAACACCATTACTCCACCATAGTAAAACGACGTCGTTCGCAACCGTATGCACCATGCACACGGTTGCACATCATAACGATTGTAGATGGGGCTATTGGGCTATACATGCTTGGATTTCTTAATTCTTTATTTTTCATGTGATTTTCTACACCAGCATTATGTCTTCCTAATAGCTAATTAATGAATATAAAATAATTATTACGACCATTTTTTTTCCTTTCAGAAATGCATCAATGGAGTACATCACTCACGTTACAATGCTAGGAGAAATACTATTTAAGTTGCTATCGGAAGCTTTGGGCCTGAAACTGAATTACTTGAACGAGCTGGAGTGTGCGAGACCTAATTCAAAAAAGATATTATAGTCACGTAACTCAAATAATCAAGGACCAAAGTGAAAAAAAAAAAAAAAAAAAAAAAAAAAAAAAAAAAAAAAAAAAAAAAAAAACTCATAAAGGTTGCATGTGAATTGTATTTTCCATCGCATTGGGAAGACAACTAATTCTATCAGCCACATAATTTGTTGTAACCTTATCGCTTTATATTATTATTATTATATATCAAAAAGATATTTATGTCGGTTGGTAAGTTGGTTCATTTATGTGATTGATCTGATTAGGATATGCATATGCAACCAACTCAAGAACGCTGCCAAAAGTAGTACGTGTTAGTTTATATAAACTACAGAGCTTTGTTTTAGTTTCATCAATTAATTGTTGTCTCAGCCAATATTGTTTCAGTCTTCACAGAGTAAGTAGCATTATTCCAAAGAAGAAAATATAATGGTGGACACAAGCAATAATGGAAACCTTCAAGAAGATAGCATAATGCAGGCTGAATATGATAGGAGAAGTGAAGTTGAAGCTTTTGAAGATTCAAAAGCCGGTGTAAAGGGCCTCTTTGATTCTGGGCTGACAAAGATCCCACGGATATTTCTTAACAAACACTCCATTCTGGAAAAGAACTCAGCTGCTAATGCTGCTACACCTCAATTCGTTATTCCAGTCATAGACTTTGAAGGCTTGGGGGGGAATAGACGAGTTGAAATTGTTAACATGATTAAGGATGCCTGTGAAAACTGGGGTTTTTTCCAGGTGATCAACCATGGTATTCCGGATAATGTCATGGACAAAATGCTTGAAGGTATACGCCATTTTCATGAGCAAGACTTTGAGGCGAAGAAACCTTTCCATTCACGTGATGTGAAGAAGAAGGTGACTTACAATAGCAATTTTGATTTGCTGGTGGCACCAACAGCTAATTGGAGGGACAGTCTTTACTGTGTCATGGCTCCCAATCCGCCTAAACCTGAGGAATTCCCTCATATCTGCAGGTTAATTGCCTTCTTCTGCTCTGCTCTTTTACAATCAAGTTTTATGCAAGCCATTGTGTTGATTTATTTTTTCTACTTTCAGGGACATCATGATCAAATATGCAGAACATGTGATGAGTTTAGGTTATACTCTGTTTGAATTGTTATCAGAAGCTCTTGGGCTTGATCCAGATCACTTGAAAGGAATGGGTTGTTCAGAGGGGCTTTTCATTATTGGGCATTATTATCCTCCATGCCCTGAACCGGATTTAACTTTAGGGTTTAGCAGCCACACTGATAGTGGCTTCCTGGGTATTGTTTTACAAGATCAACTGGGTGGCCTCCAAGTCCTGCATCAAGATGTGTGGGTTGATGTTCCTTTCTTGCCTGGATCATTGATAGTAAACATTGGAGATATGTTACAGGCAAGTAAAAAGACACAACTAAATTAATTCATAGTACAAATCGTATAATATCATATATGTTTACATGTTTCTACATGCAGCTTCTTACAAACGATAAGTTCAAAAGTGTTCATCATAGAGTGCTGGCAAAGCAGATAGGTCCCAGAATCTCGGTGGCAAGTTTTTTCAGAATGCATTTTCAGGAAGACAGTGATTCAAAATCTTATGGTCCAATTAAAGAGTTGTTATCAGAAGAAAAGTCGGCAATCTACCGGGAGACCAACATGGATGAGGTTTTAATGGTTAGATACAACAAAGGGCTTGATGGAAGTTCTTTGCTATCGCATTTCAAGTTGTAAAACTAGTGGGTACATAAAATCCCGTGTTGAATAAGTAGGAAACCTTTCTTGATTTATGTTTGTGCTCAAAGGTTAAATGTTGTAGCATAAATTTTCTCAATAGATGTGTTGGGCTGCGGCTCAAAAAATCGACTTAAATATCTTACTATCAAATCGTGGACTTGACTGCTACGCAATTAAAAAAATAAATAAAATTACATCTTCGTTACTAGTTATAACGAACTTGTGGTATAGTGGTAAATGTTTGATCTTACAAGATGTTATTACGGACTAGTTTGTATATGTAACCATGTGATTAATAAGGTAATTGTTTAGAAATGGAATATTTCTATTAGAAAACCCATCTTGAGAATATCTCATTATCAAGTGATATCAACCTTTCATAATAAGTACGTCAACCTAATAATCTTACTTGTCTTATTAAAATAAGATTCTATATACAATGCACCATTCTAAAGTGAATAACATTTGACTCACGAGGGTGTTAAGAAATATTTAAGAGTGTGCATTAGATAAATTTTACCTTATGATTTTAGCTAATAAAGAACTAAAAGAATGTAAACCAATCTAGATTGTACATAACTAGCTTGCCAACTCAAAACAAAAAGGCCAGTCTTATTTTCACTAAGATCCGAACATGTAACATTGTGATTACCAAGTCAACAAATTGATCAATTGAAGCACAAATCATAACATTTGAACACTTGCTGATGAGACTTGAGCCAACTCGGAAGGATGGTTAGTGTTGTTAGGCGAATGATTGAAGAGCAAAGTCTAGGGGTCGTTTATTAACTTGGAGAAATGGAAGATTTTCTGAAAAGTTGGAGAATTGAAAAAATAAAAAAATAAAAATTAGAAAATTTGTTTACTAAATTCATTCTTCCAAATTCTTACTCTATCTCCATTCTCCATATTTCTTTAGGATTTTGAAAAAAAAAAAAAAAAAAAAAAAAAAAAAAAAACCAATTTCTCCATTTAAAGAAATGGCAAGACACGCGCCCTTGAGTTCCCCCCTACTGCGTCCCACTCTTCTCCTTGTTGGCTGCTGCAGTGCTGCTCATGCATTCCCTTATGCACACAATTTAGTACTAATTAAATTATTATTATTATTATTACCATTTTTTCTTTTTCTTTTTCTTTTTTTCCCCTCATCCTTATGCACACAAATTATTATTATTATTATTATTATTATTATTATTATTATTATTATTATTATTATTATTGTTGTTGTTGTTGTTGTTGTTGTTGTTGTTGAATTGTATAAATGCTATATGGGGATGATCGTATTTCTAAATATAAAAACATAATAAGTGTGAATGAAAGTTATATCCTTCATTTATGTCCGTTTTTTTTGTTAAGTTTTTTTTTTTTATACATTATGCAATAAAAGTTGTACTATACAATATTTTGAACAAACATACTCTTACCGTTATAACTTCCGTTACTATACACATACATCCATCATATATTTTTCTTATATTCTTCAATAATAATAATATATATTATATATTAGAATTATATGTTTTTTATTTTTCTAAAATATAAATATCAAATTTATAAAAATGTTTTACATTATTATTATTATTATTTATAATAATTTAAATATCTAAAATCTAAATAAATTTAAAATTTTAATACAAAGGACTAATATTGGGAACCTATTTTTTGGACATTGGCGCATAAAAAATACTAGTAATAAAATAAAAATTTGAGAAATTAAAAACTAGAGGAATAGAGAATTGAAAAATTGGAGAATGGAGAAATGGAAAACTGGAAGAATGAAGAAGGAAAACTAGATAAATGGAAAAATGAAAAATTAAAAATAAAAAACAGAGAAATGAAGTAAACGACCCCTAATATTCTCTTATCAAATATAATATGAGTTTTGGTAACGTGTATCCTAATTAACAATGCAACGTAACCACGTGTGATAATTTTGTCAAAGTTTTGGGTCCTTACAGCATCTTTAGAAAATTAATTCATAAAGTCATGTTGAATTTTTTTTTTTTTTTTTTTTGAGAATAAGAAATTATGTCATGTTGAATATTATATTGTCAAGTATATATCTTATTTCAAATCTATGTTGATATGAGTTAATTCTCAAAATAGTTCTCTGACAATAGCATTTTTTTTCAAATTAGTCCCCTGACTTTTAATTTTGCCAAAGTGGTTTTCTGACTAGGGATGTCAATTGAACCCGCACCCGACGGGAACTCGATTCCCCGCCCCTACGGGGACGGGGATGGGAACAGAAATAGGGGATCGGGGATGGGGATGGGGGCAATTTTGAATTCCCCGCCGGGGACGGGGGCGGGGATGGGGAGTACTCTCCCCGCCCCGCCCCGTCCCCGATATATATATATATTGCCACACAACACACACAAATGTAGTACTTTGTATACAATATATATAATTTTAGAAGTATTCTTGTCATTGTATGTCATGCATATTTTTAAATAAAATGTTTAATTATAAAATATTGAATACAACTTTGAGTTGGGGATGAATATATATGCGTTATTTATTTAAATGTTTTTTAATGTTTAATTTTTATTTTTTTTTTATAACTTGTTAACGGGGTGGGGATTCCCCGTCCCCGAATAATCCCCGTGGGGATGGGGATGGGGGGAATTTTTCATTCCCCGGCGGGGATGGGGATGGGGACGGGGAAGGGGATGGGGGGTATGTCCCCCGCCCCCACCCCGCCCCGTTGACATCCCTATTTCTGACTTTTGAATTTAGGCTCTGTTTGGCAAACTTAGCTGAAAAGCTATAAGCTAGGAGCTGAAAGATGAAAATGAGCTGAAAGCTGAAAAGCTATAAGCTCGGAGCTAAAAACTGAAGAGCTGTTATGATTGAATGTGTTTGGTAAAATTAACTTGTTGATAAACTGATAAATGTAAAAAGACTAAAAAGGACATCTTCATAAAATTTAAATTAGTTTGTTTACATATTAAAATTTAACATTTCGTATTTAAAAAAATTAACATTTTGAAATAAAATTATTAGCATAATCATGATCTAGCATCTCATAATAAAGTAGCAATATTGTTGCAAATCTCATAATAATAATAATAATAATAATAATAATAATAATAATAATAATAATAATAATAATAATAATAATAATAATATTTGCGGTGAAAATTGTGGATAAAGGAGAAGAGAAAGGAGTTTTAATTGGGAATGGTAAATTATGTCATTTCTTTAAAATAATAAGGATAAAGATGGAATAAAAATTAGGAAGCTAGGAGCTTATTTTGAAACGCTACCTAAAATAGCGTTCCAAAATAAGCTCTTATTTTAAGCTAGGAGCTTATTTTGGAAACATTACCAAACAGAACTTATAGCTTATTAGTAGCTTAAAATAAGCTATAAGCTCCTAAATAAGCTCTGCCAAACAGAGCCTTAAACCAAAATGGTTTTCTGTTAGTTTTGCCGTTAAGTTGGTGTTAAAATAAAGGGTAAAATTGAAAATTTAGTTTTGCACTCCAATTTAAAACAATCTGTAATTCTTTCAACAGTCTGCACACGTATTTCTTCAAATTAGGTTCTTGCTTTCCAAAATCTACAATTAAAATGTGGGATAATAACCTAGAATGCATGCCAGAAATCTTTGCATTGGAAAGTTTGTGGATGAAGTTGAAGATGAACTTTTTTTTACCTTCTAGTTGATTATCTCACATTTTGATTTCAGATTTAGGAGAGAAAAATCTAATTTGAAAAAATATGTGCACACACTACTGAAAGGAATCACAGATTGCTTTAAATTGGAGTGCAAAACCTAAATTTTCAGTTTTACCCTTCATTTTAACACCAGCTTAATACCAAAGCTAACGGAAGACCATGTTAACTTAAAATTCAAAAGTTAGAGGACCACTTTGAAAAAATTAAGAGTCAAGGAACCAATTTGAAAAAATATTATAATCGGAGACCATTTTGAGAATTAACTATTTTGATATATATATATATATATATATATATATATATATATATATATATATATATATATATATATATATATATATATATATATATATATATATATATATATATATTGGAGTTAATTACCAATTTGGTCCTTTGACTATTGCAAAACTACCAATTTAATCCTCGACTATATTTCTTACCAAATTAAGTCCTCAACTTTTTAATTTTTACCCGATTTCGTCCTCCGTCCAATTGACCGCTCCATCAAAACCAAGGATAAACATGTAAATACACACCTTAGTTGAATGGAATTGCATATTTAATAGAGATTGAGGATGTCGGAGAAGGTGCAGGTGAATTGTAATTGCTCCTCCACTTTGGTCATGTTGCAGGTGTCGCCGTTGAATACGCACCACCGCGACGGCATCTTCACGGAGCCTTGGGCGGGTACCGGGAAGATGACGCGGCCTTTTCCGAGGAAGTCGATTATGAACTTGGGCGTGCCGTCGAAGTTGTAGATCCCACGGTACGTTGCGACGGTCCAAATTGCAGCGGAACTTTGTTCTCATCCGTCACTGAAGAAAGTGTATTTGTCGTGGACGATGGTGAAACTGGAGTTGTTATCCATGAAGGCGAATTCGATGGGCCATTTGTTGACTTTGACGGAGAAGATGGGGAGCATATTTTACATGAAAAAGGAATTGATGGGCAATGATGTTTGCACCTGGAAATGAAGCAGAAGCAACGGTGGCGAGCTGAAGAAGAGAGAATGTTTTATTGCGTGCATATGTGAAATAGTATGGGCCAAAAGAATGGCACCTTGTGTCACAGCGCATGAACACACCCCTCAACCGAGATGCTAAGTTCTGCTTGAAAAGGTGGAAGAACTACCTAAAACCAGGAATTAAAAAGGGATCCCTTACTTAAGAGGAACAGCGCCTTGTTATCCATCTTCAGGCCAAACACGGCAACAAAACCAATAAAAAAAAAAAAAAAAAAAAAAAAGGAGATTGGGGATGGGGAAATGGGGTGAAGCTGTACCCAGTCATCTGCGACAGTTCAAGCAACTTCAAGATCACTAGAGCTGCATTAGAAGCAGCCTACAATCTACACAAAAACATCCACATAGAATGCGACGAAATCTACACGTCCACCGTGTTTTCCCAGCCCGAATTCGTCAGCATCGCCAAGATAATCCAGGAAGAAGA